AAGACCTGTTCAGCAATAACTAAAACATCCCTGGGTTATCAACACTGTTTCCAGCACAAATCCAAAACATAGCCCCTTACCAGCTACTATGATGAAAATTAACTCTACTCCAGCCAAAACTAGCACAGTAGGGTAGCCTACAGAATCTGTTACCTCAGTTATGTGTTAAGAGGCATTTGAAAATAGGAAGCTTAAGACAGTTCTCTCTCTTGCATTAGATATTTGCAGTTGTCTTTTTACGAAGCCATAACTGGCTTCATTATTAATTTTTTGGGGGCTGTGCCTTGGAGACACTGTCTGACAATTAAACAAAGTTCTTACCAGAAAGTTTTCCCACCTTACTTTCATCCAGAAGGTCATCATTCTCCAGGACTGCAAGGACAAGGATTTTGCATCTCCTCATTCCTGCAGGAAGACAACTGTTATGTTGCTCAGCCCAAGAGAGTAACTGTGGATCTCCTGTAAAGCCTGAGGGCTTTACTCTCCTACATTACTCTGGATAGGAGGACAATACACTGTGGAAAGTTGATAATGCTGGACTGGGAGAGGTTTGACCATGTCCCCATCAGTGTGTGCTGAGGCCACCCATAAAGCTGTTCAGTTTTATATAAGGCTCTGAGAAACCCACAGAAATGCTGTTGTGGTTTAACCCCAACAGGCAGCCAAGCATCACACATCCACTTGCTCACTTCATCCCACTGGGGTGGGGGAGAGAGTTGGAAGGATAAAAATCACGGTTGAGATAGACAGTCTAATAGGTAAAGCCCTAAGCGAATGGCACATAGGGCAGTGCAGAGCTGCCCTGAACACAGGAGCATTTCCCAGCAGGTTAGGGAAGGGTGGTAGTAAAAGGTATACAGAGCAGAAGAGGAGTGACTGTGGTGCTCCCTGGGAGTTTCTTAGGGCACGGTAGGACCATACAACACACCCACGCTTCCAGGCACTGCAAAACATGGAGCACAGTAAAGCTCAGAGGGGGACACCTGCATTGTTGCATCCTGGATTTTGGCTTTCTGTTTGTTAGGAGATTTCACGCATACCCATCTCTTTAGGATTCTCTGGCTGAGCAATAAATAGTCTATTGAAACCTCTGATTTATAGGCCTTTCTGGAAAGCTTTGTCTGTAGAGCTCTCCAGTGATGCTGGTGGGCTCCTGCTCATTGAGACACAGTAATGGGCTTGGTCCAGGCTTTGGAGGAGTCTTTCAACAGCATTCCTGAAATGGCCAGGGTGGGCTTGGTGACATATGGCAGGTCAGAGTGGGCTTAGTAAGATCCAGCAAGTAATCCCCAGATACCCTTTGTGGTTTGTACATGAGCCTCCTTCTTACCCATCTTCCTCCCAAGATCTGCTTCAACATCCCAAGCACTGCACAGACATCACTGTTGCACTTCAGGCCAACAGACAATCTTGTACTACTGCTGCTTGTCCCAGGTGCAAATACATTGCGGGGCAACCCAGAAGACATGGTGCATGGGACACTGCCTTTGCCAACCCACTACTCTTCCCTGCCTACTGGTGTGCAAGGACACCTGTGATGTTGAACTCCAAACTTGGTTGGGAAGCATAATTTCTAACCTGGAAGTAGATCCTTCTCTTGTGGTTGCAGTGGCCATACCACAGGCAGATCAAGCCCAGCTTACCTCATTTAAGAAGTCTAGAATTTCAATGCCTTGGTCTGAGCCACTCTCCATTTCTTCACAGTGAGCACAGGGAAATGAAAGCCAGATCTGACTCCTCTTTGACAATCAGTGGAGGATAAGGTGGGAGGACCAAGTCCCTCATGGAGTATCAGGGCAGCTCGAAGTGATTAACTCACTAGGGGCTCTCCAGGCTGTGGACTTGCACCCTATGAACCCCACCGCTGCCTAGAAAAATGATCCTGGAAGTTTCAATGCCACCATGTAGTCAGTAGGAACAGAATTGGCTGGTGATTCTCCCCTTTCCCTGGTTGGTACTGAACACTTGAGCCCATTCAAGGCAAACCCTGGTGAGTGGGGACTTCTCAAGATGAGGCAATGTTTGTAGAGGTGCTCATTGACTTTGGGGATCATCCGAGCAACAGGAATTGTAGTATTCCCAAAGGAGCGTCACAGTCCCTGTTGTAGACCTGAGTCTGTCTGTGAGACTGTAACTTGACATTAGGTTAGAGAGGGAAATTTTGGGGGTGCTCATCGATGCTCATTCCACTGAGACCAAATACTCTGCACATCTGCCATTTTCCCCTTCCTTCCTACACGTCCTCCCTGCTGACACATGAGCTGATACCTGCAGTGAGCTGAGACATGGTCATGAATCCTACAGATGAAAAAGCATGGCTACTTGCATGGTGAGCAGCAGAAGGATACTGTGTACCAAATGAGGAAGAGAAACAGCAAATATTAGACAGAGGTGGGGTCCTGTGTTGTCCAACAAAGCACTGCAGACTGCACAGAGAATATATACAGCTCTATTTCCCCAGGCAATCAACGTAACTTCTCACATTTCCTAGCTCCCAAGTGCTCAGCTTCTGCAGTCCAGAGCAGTGCTGTGTGTCTGGCTAATTAAGATAATGTATACCCCAGTTATCCCTCTCTGTGCTTTCTGCTCTAGAAACACATCAGTTCTCACCCACTCCCTTCATAATTATAAATGCGACTATCCAAACGACTGCGTTTGTCCCACTTGACCCTGCATGAACTCCATACAGTGAGTAAATGTGTGATACAGGCCTCCAGGCAATTTTTAGAGACTAGTCCAAGAGTAATGATCTTTATTAGTAAATTTCTGTCACTATGAAACATTCTTCTTAAATAATCCCTGTGCTGTACTTTTACTGTTGATTACATTAAGGACATTGGATATTAACACTATTTTTAATGTTTCTAAAATTTATGGGAATATTAGCAAGAAACAATTTATATTGATACCACCTGCTGATCTCCCAACTTTCGACATTACCCTTATGACAAAGATACACTCATGTATAGAAAAGAATAAGATCTGAAGAATTTCACAGGTCACAGGATGATCTAAGGACTTTGGAGAAGGCCACTGAATTTAAAACTACCTTGGATCACAAAAAAGAAACAAACATTAAATTCATATTTGAGCTTAGCACTCTCTGCAATCTGGTTGTGGGTTGGTATCTTCCAGTGCTCCAGTGCAGCAGTGTAGGAATTACAGGATACTGATTTACAGCAGCCAAGAATCTGGTCCATGTGTCCCTCTGCACCTCTGTCACCTCTTTGCAAGCTCTATCTAGGCTATGTGCCCAGTACTCAAAGAGATGGAGCTTGGGTTCAATCTCAGGATATTATTTTTTTAAATTGTCTGAGAAAGATGTTGTTAAGGGTTTGAAAACGAGGTGCTCTACTGGTAAACCTAGATCTGTAGCAGTAATGCCACACCAGCGAGCACCCACTTGGAAGGATTTTCTCTAGATTTAAGGTTAAAAGTCCACACATAAGTTGTTCCTCTTTGGCGTGTTTTGTATACAGGACATGGGTACATACTACGAATATCTTGTTTGTCAAAAAAAATTGATGAAAATGACAGGCATGGTCGGGGTTAGTTCCTTGAGCCTGGCATCTGTGATTATCCCAGCCTACAAAGGAAAAAAGACAAAGTCTTAGTTAGATTTCCAAGATATCCACCAGCTGTACCCTCATATGCATGATCCTCTGTAGTGTTTATACAAGCTAGTCTTATGAGGGAAGTACAAACATCTTTCCTGAGACCAAGGGGGTGGATGAATCTATTTGAGGTAAGGAGGGTCTGGATCAAACACCTACCCTGTTTCATCAGAAGCCTCTCTCAAGCATAGCGTATTCCAAAGGCACAGATGTCCACTCTCATCAGATGTTCAAATCCACACACACCTGAGCAGGACTTTGCGCTACAACAATGTTCCTGGCTACAGCCTGCCCCATCATCCTCATACAGCTCTTACTCAAGATTTTACCAGATCAGAACCACCTCGTGGGAAGCGTGGCTTGTGCTAGGATCAGTTATGGACACCTGAACAGGGCTTGGGACGGAGAACAACGGTCACTTGAGAAGAGTCTAAAAAGCACCAAGTGTCCCACCACACCAGCAAAATTTGAGCATGACATGGGATACACTTGTCAGGGCAATGAATGCATGCAGTGTTTTGTGTGGCCCCAAAAAGCACCACAGCCTTGCTTCCACTCTTATAGGTGCTCACACCAGCAACGGGGATTCAGAAGGACTGTTCCTGAGGGAATACTATCATTAAATAATAAGTCCACTTTATCCTCTTCAAAGCAATGTTTTCGTTCACCAGGCTGCCTGACCCAGGAGAAGGATATTTTGCTGTCCGGACATGAAATCAATGGTGCTTGTTTCTCTAACTTGGGTCTCTCTGGCAACTTCTGTTTCTCTTTCTGACAATAAAATACCCTGCGCATCAGTCAACTTCCAGGAAAGGCTGCAAAATTGCTTAATGGAGGCTAGAAAGACCAAATGAAAACAAATATAGAAATGGAAAAAACTTCTCAGTGCTAAAGAAACTGCCTCTCACTGCAGCTTAGCTTCACATATCATTATTATTTCAGCTGCTCTTAGATCAGATTTGTGGGATGATATTCAACCCCTCTAGTAGTTTACTTAGTTCTGCAAATGAATGAAAAGTAATCCCTCTTGCAACACATCTCAGTTTAATTGTACTAACGCCATCTGTTATACTAAGCTATGATAAATCCAACTCTGATTTAGGATTTTATATTTCCAACATTCTGAAGAAACATTAAATAATTTTTATACTACCTTGCAAAGAAGCTAATTATCATACATTGTTATGCACTCATTTTAAATCCACATCTTTGATTCCTGAGTCTGGATTTTGATCAGATCTCTCTTTTACTGCTGACAATTCTTCAAATCAAATTTCCAAGATGTATTCTACCTACTTCTGGATTAAAAAGAGTTGAAATCTTCCTGAGGTATCTCTATGGAACATATAATTTTGTTATGTCTGGACTGATTAGCATTTGCATTTTTTATTGCTCTCTTCATCAGAAATTAAAATTACTCTGAAAGCAATTTTACCAAACTACTAGCACAGCACATCTGGTAAAAAGCCACTTTTCTGTGCTCAGAGTTCAGGTCTCAGATCCTAAAGAAGTCTCCACTTCTTGCTTGTCCTGGCTTCTCAACAGGCAATTTGAAGCATGGACGTATTACACTGCCATATATCACAGACTCACAGAATGGTCAGGGTTGGCAGGGACCTCTGGAGATCATCCAGTCCAATCCCCTTGCCAAAGCAGGTTCACCTACAGCAAGTTGCACAGGATTGCGTCCAGGTGGGTTTTGAATATCTCCAGAGAAGGAATCTCCACAACCTCTCTGGGCAGCCTGTGCCAGTGCTCTGCCACCCTCAAAGTACAAAAGTTCTTCCTCATGTTAAGATGAAACTTCCTGAGTTTCAGTTTGTGCCCGTTGTCTTTTAACCTGTCGCTGGGCACCACTGGAAAGAGTCTGGTCCCATCGTCTTGACATATCATTGAGTCCAAAGACACAAAACAACTGTCACAAGCCAGGGATACTAATAGATGGGCCCAAATACATATGCAGAAAGCCAATATCCCCTCCCAGTCAAATGCATTTTGAACTGTTACTAGCACAGGCGCACCTGTGCCACAGATAATTTAGGGTCAGTTGGCTTAAAGACCATCACAGCTTGTTTGTCTTTCAGACAGAGTTGCTTCTGTTTGCAGAAAAGGAAAACTGGTGATCTGACCAGCAGTGTAGGCAGCAGGGAACATCACTCCAAGGTGGTCCAGAGACTGCTGGGGTTAGTGGTTTTCACTGGACATGGAGAGTGAGAAAAAGATCCATCCATGGAGTATTCAGTGAAGAAAACCTAATGATGTGCTGTCCAGTAAAGCCAAATGAAAGACGAGTTTTTATCACTGAGTAGTTTAGGAGTTGAGATATAGATGGAAAAGGGTTTGACAAGTTATTAATTTTTCAAAACAACCATAGATAAGAGACTGGTTGTTCACAGCACAATTTGTAAATGTTCCCTTCATGGCTGCATTGTAAGTCTTTCACTGGAGACCTCAGCTTGAGCCACATCCTACTCTCACTCTCATAGCTCACAAATACATGGGCATTACTGACAGTTGAAATCTGCACTAAAAGCCTTCATATGATGTCCCAGCTCACCTCTCCAGGAAAAATGTCAGTCTCTGATGCATGAGATTTGCGTACCTGGTGCCTCTGCAGAAGAACATGGCAAGCTGTGATGTTTGGGACTGGGCTATCAGAACTGGGCTATACCAGGGCTGGTTTGCACACTGATGTTTTCATCTGCATACACTGCTGGGAGCATCTCAGATAAAAATGAGTGGTGTGCAACTGTCCCCAAAGATATCAAGCTACTTGAACTGTCAAATAAATATGTGACTCTTCCATGCCACACAGATCTGTCCTTCTAAGCCTCTCTACTCATTTAAGACTAGCGCTTTACATAGAACAAGCTTTACAAAGCACTCAGAAACCTTAGTTGGCGTGGCTTGCAGGAGACATGATCCCCTCAGCATTAAGTCACAGCTCACCATGCTGTGCACTGCCTGTGCATCTCTTCCAAGGACAAAATGCTGTGTTGCCTACACCTGGCAAAGCTCTGTGTGGCACATGTGGTGCAAAACCCATCACTCCCCTTGTCCTATCATGCTCCAGTACCCTTGTTGAGTACGCACATACTTAGCATCAAACTCTCCATCGCTGCGAGCAAGAAAACCAGGAAACAGTCAGCAATCTCCCATGGCTTGAGATAAAATGTCCCACTGGTCCAACTGTCTCTCACTGGGTCCCACTGACTTTAGCAGTGCTACAACAGCAGATGATTTGAACCCAAAATAACCTGCTTGGTTTCAACTCTTCTAACGGCTGCCTGCTGTTTTGTAATGAATGTTTTATAAATTTAAGACACCCAAGGGCAAATATAAATGTTTAAATAAACAGAAAAATGTGAGTAGTAGAACATAGAGGCACTTCTTCCTTTTTTGAAGGCACATTCTAAAAATGAAAATTTTTTACAAGTGGAGGTGTTCCTCAGAGGAGTTCTTCTAAACAAGACCTGCCATTCTTATCAGAGGATTAATTTGAAAGGACTATACAACCCAAAAATACTATGCACCTGTTTTAAAAATGTTGCATCCATTAATAGATGCTGGTGCTCACTGGATTACAGGTAAAATGAATAGTTCCACTAGGTGGAAATGGTATTTCGATGTGAGGAGCAACATATGAAAATATTCTTTTCCTCTCTGAGGCATGATACCCAGAGACTATGAATGGTTCTATAAATGTAATTGCTCAGTATCTTTCAATCACAAGGAACATGCAACCAGAAAAACACATTTACTAAAGTCTGGATGGTCTCTGAAGACAAACCTCATTGCTGAATGCAATCACCCATACAAGTTAATGGAGGGAGGCAGAGGGGAGAAGCCATGTGTTTCCCAAAAGATTTCTGGCTTTGCACCACCAAAACTTCCCACTCTTCTCTTCCGCCACCACTTGGAGATGGGTAAAGCCTAGGCAGAAGTCAGACATTTTGAGCATTATATTTTCTAGTAATGGTGGTAATGGTGATAAAGGAAAACCCAGCAGTAGTCACTGGAATTTGTTTTTAATGGAGCATTCATTGTGCAAGACCAGGAATGTTTTTAAACTTTCTCTGTACTGTTGTGTCCAGCTGTTCTGTATCAGAATAAAATGCCAGTTTTTGAGGATAACTGAAATCCAGTGCTCCCCATAACAACGGGCTGTGATGTCCAAGAGCTGCAAGGTGTTTTGTATGGCAGCCACACCAAAGGCTTAGACAAGGGAATAGGCAAGGAACTGTAGGACCTGGGCCTGGGAAATGGACTGGGCTGGTCTCTGTTCTGCTACTGTGACTTCTGCTATTAGCAGAGCCAAAATTATGGAAGCGGAAGATCTGAACTTACACCCATGTGAGATCTGTACTGCAACCTTCTGACAGAGCCTTTGCCAATGTTGCTGACTGTCTGTGGCTTTCCAGGCCCAGTGTGCACATCAACCCATGTCCAGAGACAAAATGACCTGGAACTTTGACCTCCCTAAGGATTTGTGATAAAATGCACTGGATGCCATCACTCAGTGAGTTCAAAGCTTTGCCTAATTTCCTGTCCTTCATGGGAAACTATTTCAGAGAGTGAGCTGAAAAATACATGGAGAGTATTAGATCTGCATTGCAAGGTCAGGTTGGGATACGGTATACAACAGGTGCGGCCTCTCTCCTCAGTATCCTACCACCAAGCTCCACAACAGAAAAAGGAAGATCTTCAAGGTTAAGATTCTAATAGGCTGTCTCTGAAGTAAAAACCAATTCTTGCAAGAGGGTAAACTTGACACAGATAAGTAAGTTCTGGGTGACCCACTTTGATCAGCCTTCACTCTCTCACAGATCACTGGCAGCAGGAGCATCGCACTGGCTGCCCAGAGTAGGAGCTGCATGAATCACTGTCATTTAATTCTCACACGCAGCACAAATTGGGAGTTATGGTACCATGGCCCAGGCAACATGGAAGACAAAGCCCAGGGGGGATTTGTCAGTCTAATGGCTCTCACTCTGCAGATTGCACTCCCAACAGCTGACAACTGTCAGAAGAAATGACAGGGACAACTCTGTTCCTCTGGGATGCTGCTCTGAGAGGTGCACTGAGAGAGGAGCGCTGACAGCTATGCGGAAAGGGCAAGCGTACAAGCTTCCCTTCAGCTGCCCGGTTGGTGGGTATGGTCCTCACCTTGGCTGCCCTGAGGCTGGCTGTGCTACAACTGAAAGGTATTGGGCCACATCCAGAAGGGGAAAGAAGAAGAACAAGGGCCACCCAATCTCCTCTTTATCCAGGATCAGTCTACCCCCCCATCCCTCCACGTTGATTCATCAGCCTGAGTCCGTATTGGCTACACAGATTAGGCCTTCATGTAAGATTTATTTGGCACCCTAAAGGGTTGGTTAAAGGATGCGGTTAATTTTTGGTCACAAATCCTGTCTATGCAGATGACATCCTGCAGCACCCAACAGTGGAAGGGTGGTGGTCTGGAATTGGCACACCCCACCCATTCAGCTCTGCAGATATGAAGATGTAGGAAATCAGTCCTCTCCTTTCTCCCCACTGTTGCTAAACAGGCAACAGAGTAGTGACACTGCAAAAGTCTGCCTCATCACTTTTGGAGGTGAAGATGCAGGGACAATAGGTGCAAAGGTGCTGGAACAATACAGCCCTGAGAGGACCCCATGTTTTCTGTCTGTAGTAACACCATGAGTTTATTCAATGTACTCTGAGGTTGAGATTCACCTTGCAAAAACTAGATATATCAGTCCAAGTTGGCCATGCTGAACTCCCTTCACAGCCATGGAACAGACAACTCCAAGGCGTGATTTATCTCACCACCTTGGGTACCCACTCTGCACTGCAGAGGAGAGGCCCATCTTTCCCATTCCTGAAGAAGCAGCTCAAATGACTATTTTAAATGAGTTCCTGTCTGAGTTGAGAAGTTGCCCAGAGTACAGTACCAAGCAATAAAGGCATAACATTCATGGCTTCACTTTCAACACAAGAGCCTTGGTAAACTCACCTGTGCATCCCAGCGTGCACCCTCCATGAACAAACCATGGACATATGCCCCTTCCCGAGGAGGACTGGCAAAATCTTCTCTGCTCTTTTTTGTCACATCGCAGTGCAAGGTCATCTTGTCCAAAGGCCACTCATTCTTTCGGGCTGTGGATTGCATGACGGCTGTCAAGATAGACTGGGGATTGAAGAATCCAGCAAGCCACACTGTGGAGGGTAAGGAAAAGTCTCCTGTCCAGGCCTCCAGCTCCTTGATGCGAGTGAGGAGGTCAGCAAACCATGTGCCCAGGCTGGCTGTGGAAGGGTAAGCCCTCTTTACCCAGGACTCAGGCACCATGTCCAAGAAGAGGGTATTCTGCAAGTTCTCCATGTCACTTGTCATGGTCAGTTCTCCCTGAGTGAGAAAGGGTATAATTAGCACGGACAACTGTTTAACCTGAACAAAGCCTGCTTGAAAGCAGAAGCTGAACTAGGAAGTGTGGAAGAACATGGCATCCTACACAGTCACTACTGTTCACATATTGTGAATTTCTTAATGAGTTTTGAGATTTCATGAACAGCTTCTAATGCATATTCCTGCATCCTCACCTTCCCTACTGTAAAAATACTACTTGGAGGAAAAGTTGCAAAGTAACTGCAAGCGTGGGTGTCCCTCAGTTGTCCCAGTGTTCTTTCTGTTTTCTCTCATTGATTGAAGATCTTTACAGGGCAGATTTTTGGAGGTACAAAGCTGTTTCGACTCATGCTGCCAGGGCAGGATACTGGAGTCTCTGATGATCTACTCCAAAACTGTCCAAATGTTAGTTACGTGAAGTCCTATCCCCCTCCTCTCCTCCACTTCCCCTCACTCCTCTCCTGCTTTATTACTTTTCAGCACAAGTCTTTCTTTTTGACTTCACATGTTGTCTGCAAATGTAATCACAGTTTCTTTCACAGCAGGGAAACACACAACAAATTAAGATATGATTCAGCCAAATGAGATATAGAGAGAGGTTTGACTTTTCCTTTATCTAGCGCTTAATTATTTGTAAAGCTTTTAGAAACCTGTATCAGTTTCCCCCATGCAGGAGAAGACCTGAAACATCATTCCCTGGCTGAAAAGGTGTTCTGCACAGCAATAACACCACCCCTCTTGAACTTCTGGTACTCTGCAAAGGATCCCCAGTGACTGCTAGTCTAAAATTAAGAAAATTCCTAAATATTGAGCTGAAATTACTTAAATCTAAGCAAGAGGTGCCTGGATAGTACCGATGCTGAAAGGGCAGCTAAGAGAGGTCATTAAGAGATGTAGCACTTTGTGCAGCCGTTTGCACAGAGTAGCACACAGGTGGGGTTCACAAACTCTGCTGAGGGCAGTGTACACTTGCTTAGCAAGAGTCATGACATGTCATGGTGCATTGTCCCCAGTATCACGTGGAGCAACTGTCCCTGGCACAGCAGAGGCCCCAGCTCAGACTAAGCTCCTGACAGAGGCTGAAGTTCATCGTGTCTGGGACTGCAGGCAGTTCCTGGAGCCTCTCACTGAGCTTGGGGCTGGGAAACTGTCTTCTTGTCTGTAGGAGATGTGCATCCATGGAGGACCTGTGCTACCAAGTAAAGGATCTGCAGGAGGAGGCCAGCAAGCGGTTTAGCATCACAGATGATGAGAAAGAGACAAACCGGATCTTCTCTGAGACCCTGCAGATATAAAAGGAGCCTCAGATCCCAACAGTATCAAAGGAAGACAGGCACAGTCTGTGCCTATCTGCTTGGGAAAGGGAGACTCTCGTTATGGTGAAGGCTGGAAGCTTGTGACTTCCAGCAACAGGAACAAACTTTATGTTTCCTCTGAAGATCTTCAGCTACACAACAAGTTCAGTGCTCAGGTAGGAGATGAAGGGTTGGGAACTCTGTCCATCAAAGTATCCCAATGCTGCCAATGGAGCCTGAGCCATGCAGCAGCACAGGAGAGATTAGTAAGTGACAGTAGTAGCTGACTCCCTGCTGCAGAAGGCAGAGTTCCCCACCTACCAACTGATCTTGCTGTCTGGGGACATTTACTGCATGCTGGGAGCTTGGATCCAGGACACTGTGGAAAGACTGCTGAGGTTTGTCCACCCCTCAGACTATTATCTCCTTATACTTTTCCACAGGGTCACCAATGATACTCAAAGATGGGTGTGCTGCCATTCAGAGGGACCTAGACAGGCTGGAGAATTGAGTTGAGAGGAATATCATCAGGTTTAACATAGGGAATTGCCAAGTCTTGCACCTGAAGAGCAATAAGCCCAGGCACGAGTACACACTGGGGATCAATTGCCTGGAAAGCAGTTGTAGGAAAGGACCTGGGAGTCCTGGTGAACAAGCAGCTGACCATGAGTCAGTAATGTACCTCTGCAGCAAAGAAGGCCACCAGTGTCCTGGACTGCAATAGAAGGAGCATTATCAGCATGTTAATGACAGCCTTCTGCTCAGCACTGGTGAGGCCACGTTTGGCATGCTGCGTCCAGTGCTGGGATTGTTCAGTCTCAAGAAGAGGTGGCTCAGGGGGCATCTTTCCAATATCTATAAATATCTGATAGTAGGAGGTAAAGAAGATGGAGCCAGATGCTTCTCAGTGGTGTCCAATGACAGAACAAGAGGCATGTGAAAAACTTGATATACAGGACATTCCATTGAAATACAAGTACAAACTTTTTTACTGTGAGGGTTGTTGAGCACCGGAACAGGTTACCCAGAGAAGCTGTGGAGTCTCCATCCTTGGAAATTTTCAGAACCCGACAGGGCACAGTCCTAGGCAACCTGCTCTACTTGACCCTGCTTTGAGCACGAGGTTGGGCTAGACAACCTCCAGAACAACTATTCTGACATTCAAAACAAGAGTCTGCAAAGACAAAAACTTGCAAATGCAGGCTCAGCTTCTACTGGTATGTAATGCCCTTCACAATTTAAATCTTTGCATGCCCCATGCTGAGCTGGAGAGGTACAACACACCACAGTAGTTTGGAGACTCATAGCTAATGTTGATTACTGGTTTCCATTATAAATACTTACTTTTGTCCCCTTATCATTGTGCCAAAATTTATCTGACTTACAATTTCTCTTTGCCTCAGGCTGAATGTTTTTTGGAAAGATTAACTGAAATCAGTTGAGCCATTGCTGAGAATGAGGGTGAGAGAATTGGGTCAGTCTATTCACATTAAAAAATTCCAGCTGTTCTTTCACAGGACTTCAGTGCCTCCAGCCACGAGGTCAGCAGAGGTGCCCTTTACTGCAGCCACAAAAATCTATGAAGCTTTAGCAAAAGTTAAAATCCTCTTAAAACAATCCCAACACATGTTTAGCAATGCTCGTCAGAGTCCAGCAGTTGAAAATCTTTGCAGTTTATTCCTATGCTGACCATGCTGCACAGAGCTCTGATCTGCAGATCACACTGACAGGCTACAGTAGGACAAGATCACAGCTTAGACACCCAACCAAACCGTGGGAGAGCCGTAACGAGTGCCCTTGTTGATGGTCCATGCTGCATCTGGCACTAACAAGTGGAGTCAGGCTTAGTGCTGAGTGATCAAGACTTAGGGCAAAGAAGCATGCCAGTGCTGTTAAGTTAGCAAGCATTTTCTCAAAAGTACACTCCAAAAAGACCAGAGACTCCCAAGCTTGGAAGACAACTTGTCACCGGAACAGAAATCTGAGCTAACTATGCTGTTGCAAATGCAACACTCAGAGCTACTGGATGACAGCTGAAACAAAGGGCTTGAATATACATCTGTCCCATACACTGAATTTAGGTACTGGAAATGGTCCACTCTAGCACTTCTGGTTTTTTAGCACTTGACTTACAACTCTTATCTTGTTTGTTTGTTTTGGTTTTGTTCCTGTGAAAGTTTCTAAACACCCACAATAAAATTTATTTTGTCTGGCAATAAGCAAGGGCAGTACTTCAAGGGAATGTGTGTCCCCAGCATCTACTAATTCAAATCAGAGCCGAGAGCACTTTCATACTGCCACCATGCCTGGAAGTCACTGCAGCCCTGGGAACTCCATTCAGAGTTGCCCCCCTCTAGAGATCTGTGATTTCCTACCCAGAAATCCCCTCCCTGGGAAACGTTCATCTCTCAACAGGATGGACTGGAACAAGGCATTACTAAACCTCTGCTCCAAAGATGACTTTTTAAAAGTAGTAAGCATTTAAAGGCAGCAAGTGTCTGAACTTGCTGGGTTTCCCCATGGAGAACAAATTTCTGGTGGATAGAGAAAATCACGTGTACAAGGGTTTTAAGATTGTCTTTAACACTCTTGAAACTAAAAGCAACAAATAAGGTTAAATGAAATGGTAGAAGCAAGACTGCTTGCAATTATTCCTAAACCACGACAAACAACTGTAACCACCTTTCAAAATACACATCATCTTCTGTCATTTCATGTGAACAGGGACCAGGCAAGCCTCTGCCAGTAAATCATCTCATTATTTCTATTAAATTATTTTACTTTTATAGGGAATGTCAAAATTATGAGTTACCTGGTAAAAGGTCTTTAAAGTCCTGGGTAATTCCAAACACAAGGGACAAATACAAATGAAAAATGTCTCATTTTTGTATTTGCCATGAAGTTACAATGAAATACAAAGGCAGTGCATGCCCTGTGCATTTCCTCTTAGGCACCTGAGCTGTTTCATTTTATCTATAACACACTTTAAGACAATTTACTGACCCACAATTAAAGCTCACACAACAGAAAAGCATGGGGAATCTAATCCAAGGGGCTAGTAATGAGCTTCACAGGGATGTCAAAATCATTTGACCTTATCAGGAGGCTGTTGCCATGGCTTTCTTATTTAATAACGTCTGTTGGCACACAAACTCTGAGGTATCATTGCGGTTCCTTCTTTGTTCATATCACATAGGTCATCTTCTCCCATCTCAGGAGAACTTAGACACTGAGAGGAGCTATTCAATAGGCTGGTGTCTGTATAAAGCCATGGTAAGACCAAGCAGGAAATAAAAAATGTCTGAGGGGCAAAGTAGCACACTGGTCACAGCAGGACACTGAGAACCACAGAGCCTTCTGATAATGACATTCAGAAGCATTTTGCACTCCTGGAAAGGTTTTAAAGTTGGTAAAAATATTGCAAAATGTGTGCAAGCAGTCCAATTGATTTACAGACATAACGCTCATGATCATATATCATGTCTAGTTTTACTTTCAGGAAACAAATGAATTAGCAAATGTAATTCTCAGGAAGGTTTAAGAAAAGCAATTTTTAAAGGCTGCGCACTCAAGCATACTTGTTGGAATCTCCTGTGAGGATTCAAAACATCTATAGCAACTATCTCATATAGTTGTCCAAACACAATTATGCATAAATTTGCATTTCAGATGCTGAATACGAAAGTGCATCAGGAATGATTCGAATTACTGTTTTTTTTTCTGAAATGCTGGGAGTAATTTTCATTAAAGACACCCTTGAAAGAAATCCTAATCAGCCTGCAGACATTCCCTCAAGATGAGCAGACTATTGTCACAAATTGTTTTCTCAGTTAAGGTTACTTCACTGGTTATTTCATAGATAAATATTCAGCTAGCCTTACAAAATTTGGTCTTACTTCATCCTTTTATAATGTCTACTATGCTCATTTTGGATGCTTATCCTTCACCGAGATTGCAAAATAGAAAATCTGCTTGCAAAAATTACACTGGGTACAACATTAACATGCAAGTGTTTCAGCCCAACCTCTGGTTTCACCAAAGTCATCTAGAACAAAGGACTTTGAAATGCAGTATGCCAGTTATTTTTGATGGCTACCAATCTATTGCATTTTCTCTTCCTCTTAATGGGATATCTCCTATTTTTGGACCAAACAATCGCTTTCCACTACACAGACACAATGAATTATTCAAAAATTCAAATTAAGCTTGACATTTCCAAATCTCCTTCTTTTAGCAGATAGTCAGTTAAAAACAATAAGACTTGCTTTCTCTGTGTTTTATTTATTCTGTTCTGAGATCTGTGGTTCCTGTTATGTAAACTCTCCTCCTCTGAGTACTATCAGTAAAGATCCCCAGTCCCAGAGATTAACGTACATTAACAGCTCTCATAGGAGCTGCATTCAGAAGAAACAATTCAAGAATTATTTCTCTCCCAAACTGAGTGTGAGACCTAGCTGTCAAGTCACGACAGCAGCATTGCCTACAGAAAGAGCCAACAGCAGGACCAAGCATCCTCTGGCCATTATGTGGGACCCAAGGCATGGGAAGGGCCTGTTGGGGGATGCTGGGCAGAGATGTGGGTCATACATGACATCTAACTCAGTTCTGCAGGGATCCACATGCAATCTTGGCTTGCAGGTACAGAAGAATTGCCCACTGGTGGTATCTCAGACTCTTCAAATTTGTCTCTTCAGCATACACAAGATGAAGAAATGCTAACACAAATAAATAGTGCTACTTGTCTGGTCTTCAGTAGCCCTTAAGTCCTAGCCATGTCTCTGAATCACACCGTAGGTACTGAGGCTGTTGGGACCAAACTATGTAGTCATTAGAGGTGCCTTTTCTGTAGATAGCATCCCACTTCCCTGTCATTATTTGTGGCAGGGTTTTGGGGAGAAATTTGCGCCCTATATTATTGCCTGATTTCTGTGGTTTATTTTGTCTGTGGTTTATTTAAGCTCATGCATCCACTCATTCCCCCTATCAATGTTAAATAGCTTGTTCTTCTCCACATTAAATCTAATTGCTACGCATTGTTCTAGTTACAATTATATCTTGTTTGGTGCTCCAGGATTGAAACATTAAATCACTTCTGTTTACCTGTCTCAGGAAACAGAATTTTCAATTCCACTGCCTTCTGCTAGAAAATAAAGGAAATTTGTTGATGATAATTGACTACATAAATATCAGCCTATTTTAAAATGGATTGTACATACTGGGTCACCATGAAGTGTATATGGTATGTCTCTCTTTTTAATCAAGCAATAAGCATAAGCAGTGAATACTATGCAGAAATCTCTGAGCTAGCATGGACCTAGGTTGCTGGGTTCACAGTGTACAGCACAATGTGTCTGGGATTTAGAAGCAGCCTAGACCTATTCCTGCAGAACTGCAGCTACCTAAAATCCCAGAGACAAACCTACCACCTCTGTGTGCGCACTGTAGATAGGGCCTTTGAAGATCTCTCTTCAAAGCTGCCCTCAGGAGAGGGTTGGGATTGTTATTCAGTCTCAAGACAGGTCCTACTTGCTCACCTGTCAGCTCTTTCTACTAATATGGGGTCAGACAAAGTAATTGCAGTTCCTTCAAGTGCAATGGTTCCCATGCTATGCAAATTATTTTTGCAAGCTGAGCGTTTTGGTGAAATGGGAGAATGCCCAGTGACTGACGTCCTTAATTGCTGCCTCACACCATGAAATCACCCAGGGATTTGTGTCAATGATGCAGGGAAGGCATTGGGGTAGCATTGAAGCCATCAGCTTTGTGCTGCAAGCTCCAGGTAGCATTCCTCTGCTACATTTAGGCCTTTCAAAGGGATGTACAGCACTTGGCTGTGGTGAAGAGTCTTTTGGTATGACAAGGTGAAGGAGAAATGTTGCTACAGGGCACCAGGGCTAGTTAGGCAGGTCCTCACTCACCTGCAGTGCAGTCTGATTTATGTTGATGTATTCCCTAATGGACAGGCAGTAGCCTTTTATATTTTGTCGCACCAACTGCCTGGGAGGGGATTCAGCAGATGACTTCCCCTACCAGTGGATATAGCCTCAAAGCACAGCCCTCTTACACATCCTGATGAACCCAGGAATTTACATCCTGCCTCATGCGTCCTGTCAGCCCCAGAGCTCCTCACTACTCTCCGTAAGCAATGGCCAAAGCCACCAGCCAGAGGGACACAGACATCACCTTCCTGGAGCAGAGCCTAGTTTCTTACCAAGTTGGAGAAGAAACTATGGGTGGAACAATCATGGACAGTATCTCCATAGGGAAAGTCTGCTCTGACCCTCCTCCATTAGCAAATGACTCATATCCAGCAAGGGGAGTAGTATCTCTTCCAAAATTCTTGAGTTTTTAACCTTTTTCTCTTATAGCTCTGGACATTTTGTGTCCTTACACATGATCAATCTTTTCTTTGATTTCAGCTCATCCTGTGCCTTTAAGGACATTTTGTTACAAGTTCCTCCCAGTACTTCGGCATTATGTGAAATGGTGTGATTTTTTTTCTCACCTTTAAATAGATCACGTCTCAATTTCTGAGTGATCTATTGTTGCTGTGCTACAATATTGGACGGACAGAAGTGCCTACTCTCTGTTCCCAAAAAGCAGTCATTGCTATGTGTATCTTTAACCTCTCCCAGTGCCTGCTCTCATGGCCTGCAGACAATGTGTCATTCGAAATCCATCTGTGAACCCTTCCCATGGAGTCAAGCTGGTTTTGCAGCCAGCAGTGCCGAATACAGAGTAATGACCCCTTTTATTCCCTGAGCACCTTTTCTGTTCATCAAGATTTTATAACGCTGCAGTCGCAAGCATCCGGAGCTCTCACCTTCAGCCCCAGATCCAGTTCCTTGAGTGAGCGCTTTATTTCACTGGTGAGGATGTTCATGCGCTCACATTCCTGGAAGGCAACCACAACATAGGGCGTCCTCTCCTCCACCTTTGCCATCAGTTCTGCAATGTTAAACTCATCCATCAATTTCTCTAACATATCTTCCAGAAGGGCTTTCACCTGTGTGCCGAAGGGAAAAGAGAGAGGGCTGTCAGTGAATGATCCACTGAGGTTCCTCAGTTGACAGCTGCCTGAACACAGTATGAAAACTCCATCTGCCAGTTAAGCATCCCCTAAACAATCAGTGTCAGCAGCGTTGGGCATGGCACCTTTCAAAGAGCTTGCCATATCCTATTAAAATTCAAATGCTTACAAAAATTAATGTCAGATGAGAAGCTTTCAAAATGACGGTTGAAAAATGTCACTATGACATGTAGCAGTCTCCTTTCTTCTTGGGTCTCAAGCCTGTATTCTTACTTCTCCTAAGGTCAGGTTCAATGCAAGAAGACGGATGGGGCTATAGCCTCAGCTGAGCCTCAGGACAACTGAGCTTATTAGCTGGTTTTTTATGGTATGCTGATACAAAGAAGTGATTATATAAAATTTAATTTTAAGTTGAATTTGGTATTCTGAACTAATGGAGCCGCTGAAGAAAAGCATAATGAAACAAAATTATTTTCTGGTCACCATCACAGTTTGATTTGGAAACAGTGCTTTATATTTCTAAATATTAAACAGGGAAAGTTCCAATGCAACAGGATGTTTCTAGTGTCTAAAAAAAAGAAATAAACCAGACAAAAACAGTTCCATTTGACAATGAGCCATGAAGCCCTTAATCTTCACGGGATCAGCTCTATCTCTCAGGTTTATGCGGATTGTTAGGAAGCTTGGTATGGAAGTCTCTCAGACAATGCTTTGCTTTACCTCTGTGCTGGAACCTGAGCAAGACTTCTGCTTCTTGGGGATTTTCCAGGAACACATAATGCACAGTAACAATTCTGTGAACTGATGTGCGAAACCTGGTGCTTGGGTGTTAATGACAGCTGCCAGCCAGTGACAGTTGCAGCCCAGGGTAATTTTACTGCCATGCCCCATTCATATTTTGGACTTTGTACCCCCATTTCCTCCCAATTCTGCCCCTCCAAACCCTCCACACTTGTGTCGGATGTTACGAAGAGGTAATGATGTGTAGGATGTTATTGCAACCAACTAGGTAGCTAAAGCTAAGGCTTGTCTGGAAAAGCTCTTTAGCTGCACCTCAGGTGTGGTATAGAAATATAATCTAATTTTAAATTCCCCTACAAATCCCTTTGGCTCTGATTTTTTTCACAACAATTACGGCTTGTTTTCTGTAATGTGGCCTCAGAAACCTGTGGGAGTAACTGGACTTTGTAACGTCTTCACAGGATGATAATGAAGGCACTGCTGTTCAGGGGGTAATTAAAAGCCACTATCCTATTACTGACAATACTCCAATTACATCCCACCATGGTGATGTTCTGCATAATATGAGGCTAGTAGTTTTAGACACTTGGTTTGTATCCAGCAAAGGTAGAACACATTATAATGAGCTGTTGTGAGACAAACCTGAGCTAGAAAGGACTACTTATGAATGAGACAGATATCAAAACGCAACAACTCCTTCCTCTACCACTCTCACCGTTTCTTCTCTGGTCACCATTCCTCCTTCACCCATGCTGGTGTCCCGGGGCTGCATCTCCAACATGATGCGGAACAGCTTCTCTGAGGTCTGGGTAAGAAAGCCAATCTCAGCATTGGGATGGAGACCATACAGATAAGGTGATTCTGGAGGCAAGGCATCATCTATGTACTGTACAGAGAAATTCAGGTTCAGGTTAGATACAGAGTCCAGGGCTCTTTGCCTGTAGAATTCACAGTGCTGGAATTATCACCCATCCGAGTAAGTAAGCCCAGGCTAATATGACTTTGCTTGTGGCTGAAACACCAGGGAACTGATGAGAGAAAGGAGTGTATGATTGTTTACAGAACTGCCTCTAATCCTGCTGTGAAAATGTAGTAATTGCTAAAGTTTGGCTTGGCTACATATCTCAGACCTGGACTTTCTCTAGCAATTATCTGCTGTGCATTTCAGCATCAATATCCTGAAATCTCTTGTGGGAATTTAGCTTCCAGTAGTTAAGTTTTATGAACAAAACCAGCCTAATATGCCTATCTCTTCTACTGCACTTATGTACAAAGAACAGATGAGATCAGTAAGTAGATCAACAAGACCCTTCAGTGTTTCTCATCATAACTGATGATAAAAGGAGTTTGAAAGGGCCATTTTAGCAAACAGTATGTGGATGTAATTTTCCAGGAGCCCCGCTTCAGTTTCAAGAACCAATACAGTTGTTCTATTCATGCATGAACAGAATGAGCCCATGATGAAGTAGCAAATTACCATTAGACTTGGTTCGTCAAAGGGAATGCTGAAATGTCTATAGAAACAGAACATAATGGGAAATAACAGGAGGTGTGTTGAAACACTGCAGTGATATTCACTGCCTCCTAAGACAGATTATGGAAGACAGTACATTTATGTGTATAAATAATACCAGAAGACAAAGAGCTTACCTGATGATAGTCATTATAGTCCATGTTCCCTGGGAGGGGGAATCCTGGAGCAAGGAGGAGTTCTCCCTCCAGCATTTCTGGCTTAATAAATTCTTCCAAATAGGTTTTGCAAAGCCGCCTGTCCCAGTCATCTGTAATGTGACCTCCGTACATAATCTCACCAAAGAGGTAACGTAAATCATCATATGGGACCTGAAGAATGAAGCAGGAGGGCATGAAAGAATACAGACAGTCAGAGCTCTGCCAGCCATGTCACTGAGCTGCAGGTTACAGTATTAAGCACTAATCTGCACAGTGAGTGCTTCCATTTCACTATTTCAGTTTTCTGAGTAAACAAACATTAGGTAGGAGTTAAATCCTGCCCAAGGAAAAATGGATCACAGCATAGATTTTGCACAGTTTCCCACTGAAATGCAAATTTATTCTAAGCTCTGTTAAACCAAAGACCACTATGTATTTTCAATGAATAAAGTCCACAGGCACTGTTCGCTATGATTTGTAAGCTGCTACAGATGTGAGTGACATTGAAGCTTCCCATCTCAGCACAAAGATATACCGAACTGTGAAGTTATAAAACCAAAGATATCAAGGAAATGGCGTTTAAGGAGACTTCCCAGGAGTTTCAGCCAGCACAAGCCAGTCCATCGCTGGTGGTTAAAATCCACCAAACAGCCCACCTTTGATTCACGCACCTTTGAGCTGGCCTCCAGGTAATTATACAGCACGTTCACTGAGATAGTGAGATCTCCAGTGTTAAAGGGGTAGGAACGGTTCCAGCCTTGGGGGCCAAACTTGCGCCTTTCTGCCACAACAGCATGGAAATAGCAGAGGGCAAAGAGGATGCTCTTGAATTCATTCTCCCGGCTGCACATCTCCAGGGTATCCTGCAATAGAGGTAGAGAGGCAGGGCTGTGTAAGTCCACACTACCCTCAGTGACTCTCAGGGCCTCCCAAAATACACCGGACTTCAGACAGAGGTGAATTGATTTGCCCAGTCAGATCATTTCTGCATAATATATGTATTCATTAATTTTCTAAGTCAGTGGTTTTGCATTGCAAAGTTATCAGCAAATTCTGATGCATATTTTCAGAATTAGTATTTTCTTTTCCAACTCAAAGTGACTTTACAAAGGAAAACATACTGACAGCCAAGAAGGGAAGGACATGTGTACCCACCCAACACCCCATCACCTGCATGTCCCCCACAACCCACACCAGGGAGATAGAGAGAAGCACTACACAGGGCAAGCGTGCCACAGTGGGACTAGGACTAAGCGAAGCTTCTGCTGAGAAGGACTATACCTGGCAGAACTAAAGTCCATCCTGCCCCTTGAGTACAAAAACTGTCCTTGAGGCAGCATTTGTTTGAGCTGCAGGGCTGAAACAGCAGGGAGTTATCCTAGAAAGGGTGTGCTCCTGCCTCTGTGACCCTGTGCACAAAGCCAGCCTGGCCATGTGCTGCAGCAGCGTATTTGCTGATGGCACAACTTTGCACAGCACACCAAAGGGGGGATGCGAGAAACTGCTAAAAATCCAAACAGGGGAAATCAAACACTTGCAAAAAAAAATAAAATCTAATGTTGCCCTTTAAAGTCAACACAGCAATGGGTGCTTCCTTTCTCAACTTCCAGGTGACACTTAAAGTTTGAACAGTTACAAACGAATAGGCAGAATTGTGATGTCGGAGGTGGAGGGGCAGGAGCCTGAGTTATTTAATCAATGAAAACAAACAAAGGGAATTGGCCTCCAAAGAACTCTGACGGTGTTGGGAATGACTTTTCAACAGGTGAGCACCAAGAGGAAGCTTGGCCAGCCATTCCTGTTCCCAGCAGAATGAACAGCAATGTTATGGGACAGCAGAGCAGCAGAAGGGATGAAGGACTGGAGCTGTGTGCATGGCACGAGGCTGAAGCTCAGCTGTCACAGGGGAAGCTGAACCCCCTTTATGTGGCTGAAGCCAGGTGGAGGCTTGCACAGCTCTGGCCCTCACACTGTGCTGGCAAGAGCAGTGAGGCTGAGCAGCGGATCTCCTGCCCCATGACAGGAACACAATGGGGTCTCCCATGGCCAATAGTACAGATCTCCCCACACCTGGGAGATGAATATGTTGGGAAGGGCTTACCTGCGTGTTCATCAGCCTCTCTGCAAACCCTCCCCAGGAATAGCATATCCAGGATACAGTGGCTCTGACCTGCACAGCTGAGCAAGAGGCTGACTAAGGAGGGAGCAGCTACACCAGCCCCTCCATTCTCCCTCCCCAGGAATAGCCCCTTTAAGTCCACTCTGCTATATGACAAAGACTACAAAGGGCATCCGTGTGACTTCCCTTCATTATCCTTACCTTAATAAAATACAATGTTAGCCCTCTAATCAGCTGGGGAGCATAACAGACCTTAAGGTCTGTGCTGAAAAAGGGGAATCCATTACTCTAAAGTGTGCAAGACATTGACTAACTGCATAAGACAATCAAGAATATCTCAAAGCCTGTTTACTCCTTGATAAGACAAAACTCTAAGCTCCTTTTATTATCAGCAACCTGATGAAGAACTGGTTCAAATGTGTACTGAGCACCTTTCTCATTTTAGAAATGTCCCTGAACTTCAAGGGGAGCTTACCTGAAAGAACGCTGAGTAAGAATCCAGCTCAGTCTCATTCAGCCTCTCTATTTAGTTGTGCATTTTTCTTCAGCTAAAAAGCAGAACAATATTCCCTGCACAGAATAATGGGCCGCCTTTGTAGGTTTCAGCTGAAAGCTAAATTTGAACATTCATTGTATAAAGCAGGGAAATGAGGTGTAAAGGGACCCCACCCACTCTCTACAGGATTTCTGACAATTTAGAAAATGTTAATTACTATCTGATTGAAATGAGCAGAGGCAGGATGAAGATGTTACTTGGGGTGAAGATTGTCCCCTCCCTTGCTCTCCAAGACGTTTCATGGAGTTCAAGATGATGAATGACAACAGATAAACATGGAATAATCTTTCCTGACTACTCACATTAATTCTTGCGTGGTGCTTCCCTGCCTCACCTGCTCAGCAATGTTAGCTCCTGCACTTGAGATTACCTCCATACCTATGTCTAAGTACGAAAATATTTGTGAGCTGCCCCCATTTTTCTGCCCCATGGACCTGTGCCTGGGGTCCACAATAGGTTGGGTTTGCGTTCACCTGGTCCTAAATGACAAGAGGCTGTATGGAGAGAAAAGAAAGCAATTCTGCAAGTTTTGCCCTGTGTGTTGCTGGCACAGTCATCAACAGAATGGAGAGGCCGTAGTAAATTCAGCGCTAATGATGCAAAACGGCGGTCCGAGGGATGAAAGTACCAGGTCCTTCTGGTTACTCTAGGTTTAACAGCCAGAGTCTTGCTGTGAGAGCTCAGTGTGCCGAGGTAACAGCAAGGTGTGAATGACGGTAATGAGCATTCAGGGCAGCAGAAGGCAATGGTCTGTGTCTCTAGGAAAGGTAGCATGATAAATGCAAGTGTTTAGCCCTTAGCCTTTTGTGTCATGCGGAAAACGGGGTCAACCAAAGCACAGCCGCCTCCAGCAGTGAAACATGGCAGGCTCCAGTGTGCCTGGACACACAGGCTGTTCCCTGGGGAGCTGCTGGCACTTGATCTGTGCCCCACTGCTCTTTGCATCCTCCTGACCTGTGGTGCACTGAGCTGCTTGAGTGAGGCCACAAAGCGGGCTCATTTAATCACTGTGTTATGACAACTCTAACATTGATCCATACCCTCTGTGGCATGAAGAAAATATTTCCTATCATTTCTGCATGTTTTGCTTTTGTGTTTCCTGCACAAGAGACTGAACTGCAGTTCCAGCAACAAAAAGCGGGAAGGTGCCTGCTGTAACAGGAGTGTGTGTACGTGGTCACCATGCAATAAAAGCAATGAGCAACCTGTCATCAGTTATTCTTCTTGTGGGCTAGCAATTCTCAAGATGGCCTACTTTACCCTCGTCTGGCAAAGCAAGTCCTCCCTGCAGGCAGATTTCAGCTCTAATTTGCAACACTTCTGATATCAGCAAGGTTTTGAGCTGAATGGCCTTTGGGCACACAACACCAAATCCCCCTACGCTTCTCTGAACAGTGATGTGGGATGTGACAGTATCAGCAGTTCTGAACATCTGACCCTTGCTTCTCCATGTCTTTGGGTGCTGGATGTAATATGTCACTCGTCAGCCCAAAAAGGAGTGACACAGACACAGAAATCAAGTTGAAATGTGACAAAAGTCTCCCAAATTCTGCATTCAAAAGTTTGATTCTGAAACAAAATAGGCTTTCTAAGGATCATACATTAGCTAGAAAATTATTAAACTGGGCAGAAGTCCGGTATCCTGTGACCTTCTGCAAGAAAGAGGCTGTTCAGGATTACCTGAGTCTTTCTTTTGGGAAAATCAGTGCTTGGAAAGAGATCTGTGCCCAGTTCCTGGAGAAGAGAGAAGGGTATTGTTGTATCCAGAGACTACATGATGCAAAGGAACTCGCACATCTGCTGCCTGGGAGCAGCAATGCCCAAACACATCACACTCTACATGAGGCTCCAGCAGCTCCACGCTGACATGTTGACCAGTTGCCGGCACAAGACCTGCTGAGCTCCTACCTGGTTGAAGTTGTCGAGGGCTTTGTGAAGGTTTGCTTGCATCCCAGTTGGGGCCTCGTTGGTGATTTTGATGGAGTTCTCCAGGATGCCCTGGGGAATGATGTGGCTGTCAGGGGAGGGTGCTGGCTCCGCGCTAATGAAGACACGGAAATCCTGGTGACTGCCCTCACTGTGCTGCTCCAGCTTCTTCTCCAGAGAACTCAGCCACTTGGCCACCAGATGAATGTTCTGGCAGGGACAAAGGGGACAAGGCTTCATCAGTCCCCCCCATTTACACCCATGCTGAGCAGGCACTGAATCCATCACACCAATGAACTGCACCCACGAAGGCTACACTCTAGAATTTGGTAGTTGTCCCAGTAGTGCCTGTGTGCATTTCACAGCCCCAAATATCCAGTTATATCAAGTACAATTTTAAAGTCAAAGTAATCAATATAAATCACCAGCAATGAAGTAAGTCACTATTGGGTTGTTTGGGTTCTCGGTGACGATACGCTCTTTTTTGTTACAGTAAGATGTGGATAGTAACCAAGTAGAGTTAATTGCCCAGATCTACCAAGCTGAAATGAAAATGTTTGTTCATTTTTAACATAATAACAGTAAGGACAGTCAATATCAGTTACTAGAAAAAAAGTCAAGCAGGTGGTTTTACAAAGACTTTTAACATAGAAGATTTATTTATTCATGCAACTAATTAGATATATCAGTCAGAAAATTAAGCAATATTGTGTGAGATGGTGAAATGTATGAAAACAAGCCTCAGTTTTTCAGTTAGAGTCCTATAGATTGTTGTGATTCCCAGGCAAGAAAACAGCTTTTTTTTTTTTTGTATTAGGAATGGGGCAGGTCACACACAGCAGGGGTTCATGGGTTAACACTACCCTTATTTTAAACTTAGGTGTATAATCCAAGCTGACTCTGTTAACAGGCACTCTGGAAGGTGATTTATCCCATCCAAAGACAGAACAAGGAACTTGCTAAACTTAAATTAAAAGCAGCTGCCAAAAAGATAAACTGCTTGGAAGTGGCAAGGAAATTACATAAAGGAACCATATTAGAGTTTTAGAGTAAATACATATCACCTATAAAAAGAACCAGAAAGGAGCTCTCATGGTTAAATAGCAGAGTAATAGAGACTATTAGGAGTAAAATGACATTCTTCAGAAAGTGGAAATCGTGTCCAAATGAGAAAAACAGAAAACAGCAAAAAACCCAGTCATGGTCAAAATGTGTTTTTAGACGCAATATTCTGAAAACCATAAAAACTAATATTAAAACCTTTTCCAGGAGCCAGAAACCTACCAGACAGCCTATAAAACTAAAAGATGATCAAGGTGTACAGAGAGTGCCCAAGAAAGGCAAGACCATCACAAAACTGCTATTTGCAGGAATAGAGCAAATAGAACTGCAGAACTTGGGGAGGGTCTTGTTGTTGCAACCTGTGTTACATGGTGGTATCACTCAGATGCTGAGGCTGGAGATGCCTCTGGAGATCATCCATCCAATCCTCCTGCGCAAAGTAGGGTCAGCTAGAGCAGGTTGCTAGCTGTATCTGGTTGGGTTTTTTGACATCTCCAAGGCTGAAGCCTCCACTATCTGTCTGGGCAGCCTATGTCAATGTTCAACCACCCTCATAGTAAAAAAATAAAAGTAAAATGAAATGAAATGAAATGAAATGAAATGAAATGAAATAAAATAAAATAAAAGTGTTTAAGAGGAATCTGTATTTCAATTTCTACCCGTTGCCTCTTACTCTTTCACTGGGCATCACAATGAAGAGTTTCGTCCCATCTTCTGTAGTCCCCCTGTCATGAGGTATATAAACACACTGATAAACCACTCTGAGCCATCTCCTTTTGAGGTTAAATAATCCTGGCTCTCTCTCAGCCTCCCCTCATATGACAGATGCTCCAATCCCTTAATCATTGGAAAGATTCTTAAATTGAAGCAGCAGATGAAGAGTTTTTCAGAAAAATTGATAAACTAATAATAACAATTTACTAGGACCAGATGGTATGCACCCTAAAGAAACTGATCTATGGAAGTGCTGCATTACTCCTCAGTATGCACTAGGCAAACTGGCAGGGGCTCTAATAAACCATGAATTAACATACAAATAATATGAGTTAGAGAAAACCAGGAATCTAAAATTTCCAACCTGTTTTAGATAGCTAATAGCGAGATAGCCAAATCTGAGATTGTCACCATAAACTCCTTTTGCAGTTGCTAGAAAGGTGAGCTCCAGCAGGCAGCTCACCACACTGGCTTCAGGCGTTGCCCTGGACAGTGGGAGAGTTGCCTCCATGGGGCCAGTGTATCTCCATGCTTGGATTTTCAACAGTATCAGCATTATTGCAGGTAAGAGGGAAGATCTCATAGATTACCAACTGGTTAAGACACAGGAAACAGTGGGTGGGAAGCTATTGATGGAATTTGAGCTGCTCATCATATTCAAAAAACACCTGAAAGAGCAAATGATTAGTGACCTCACAAAATTAGTCATAAGACAAAGTAATTTCAAATACTGCAAATAAAACCTGCTAGTAAAGAACTGCAAAAGTATGCCAGCATTCTAAGTGACTGTCAATGATGTGGCAGAAGAAACTCAGTGTTGATAGATGCAAAGCAATGCACACAGAAAAACCACCCTAGCTATAGATATAAACAATGGTGGGTTCAGAATTAGCTATTACTTCTCAGGGAAGAGATCTCAGGGTCCTTATGGTTACTTCCTGCGAATAGTAGTTCAATGCTTAACAATGTGAAAGCAATCAAATATCAGCAAAGGAACAGAGAATAAAACTGCAAACGTTATTATGCCACTCCATAAATCCATGGTGGGCCTTCAACTTGAAAACAATACCCAGTTCTCACTTCTCTATCCCCAAAAGGATATAACTTCTGTATAAGGAGACACTAAGTTGATATGGACTCATCAGTTTGTAGAGAGAGGAGATAGGGGTGGAGGGGGTGAGTGAAGAACAAGAATGGAGGGATGAGTAGAGCAGACTGAAAAGTTAAAAAAAATAAGTGGAAGTACATTTTCATATGACACATAACTAAACTGTGAATTTATTGTCTCAGGGTTTTGTGGAAGATGAAAGAATCACAGAACGAAGCTGAGATTAAATCCATGGAGAGAAATATCATTGCACACTTGCACTGTTTATACACCCTTTCTCTTAGATTCTGGATGTGTCTTCTCACAGGTGGGGAACTGAGCTGGCAGAGATTTGGTCTGCCCCAGTACAGTGCTTTTACAGACTGATGCCACATAGGAATATCAAGGGAGCCTTCTTCATGAGTATAAAGCCTCTTCTGGCTTTTCCACTTGAGATTTCAGGTGCCTCTCATGAGCTACTTATGGAAAGATCCCAGCCAGGACTGGAGAAGAGGATGAACAGTTGTAGAAAAGGAAAAGCTGAGGTCCTTTAAGCAAGGGTTGGGACAGGGCGATGGCTACTGTCACAGACTATTTGCAGTACTTGCAAATGCTGGAGGGATGGGTCAGCAGTCAGACATGGACCAAGAGACACAAGGACCAGATGGAGATATGTCTCTCCAGAGGAACTGGGGTGCCTCAAGAGAGAAGAGGCCAAAAACTCCGTCACATCTAGAAACAGTCCCCTTTGCACATCAGTGACTGTCCTTGCATACTGCCATGTCCTTCCCAAGTCCTAGGTACAAAAAATCGGTGTCACCTCTCACTTTTGTAGAGGGATCCTGCTAAGGATTGGCAAGTTTACTTTTGGTATCTCCTCTATAATTTTTTTTTGCCCTATTGATATATGCAGTTATCATGGTGAAGGCTGACTTGTAGATTGCTAATAGTGACAGCTAAAAGTGACAGTAGATCTGAGTCTCGGCTCTTCAGCAATGCCACCCAGCCTCCGCAAGCAGCTGGACTGGCAGGCATGCTTACATCCTTCAGAGAGCAACTCCCCTCGAGTCTCATAAAGCAGGAGTTCTAGCCTATAAGAACAGGCACAAGCACAACTTCAGTACAAGTTTCCTCCACAATGGCTTTATGCTTCTGGATTTGTACCAGTTTTCAATGTCTGAGCACAGACATCTGTGGCTGAATTAGTCATCCCACCGGAGAGTCATGGAGAAGGTAGGTCATCTTATCCTAAAACAGATGTGTGCAGTACATCCGACGGATCACTCTGGTGGAAATGCCCAGCTCTCCTCCTGGCCTGGAAAAGGGGGCTGTGGTGACTGGGTCAGATGGAGTTGTTTCTATTGCAGGCACCTCAAGTTGAAGGGAATGAGTGGTGCTTTCAGAAGCCTGCTAGTAATACAGGAGATACATTACTCTCACCGGCTTCAGGAGTATCAGAAAATAACACATCAAGTGTGCAACTGCATTTTCAAGACTGCATTGTCTTTTAAAAATGCGCACTTAATTGTTTCTGTATTCTTATCCTCTATGGGGCTAGGTACAAAGTGTACCAAGAACTCAGGTAAAGCTCCTATACTTCTTTCTCCTTGCCCAAGACCTCTGCGATTTAAATGTAAATAACACATTCTCTGCTACTTGGTAATTTTGATATCACCCTCTTCTGCACAAGATTTTATGGTGCTGTCGATGCCCTAAGTCAAATAAATTGCTAGACAGCTCCTGCCAGAGGTCAAGCCTTCATCTCTGAGACAGCAGCTGCTTCAGAAACATGAAGCAAGAGAATCACTGTTTGGGGAAGCCATGGACACCTTGCACCCTCTACTCCTGTTGCCCAAAAATCTGATTCACATGTCTGGGAACAAAATTTCTTATTTAGAACTGCATAAATTCACTCTCCTTCCCTGGAAGGATTTAGAGTTGTGCTCATGTTACGTGGATGAAATAGAGTTTGGGATGTTGACGGAGACAAGGAGGAGATGCCTGAGCAAAGGAATTATGTTCTGGAGAAGCATTGTTTTGTTGAAACCAATGACCAAGCAGTAGACAAAATGCGATTATATCTGACTGCTGATGCACCAGTGCTTGCCTGATGCATTTAAGGTTTCAAGAGATGAGGTAATCCCCAGGGTTCAGGCAACCCACTCATTCTAAAAACAGAAGTCAAAAAATAAAGTGGGAGTGGAATGAAACCTGTAACCAAAGTGTTTCAAACAGCCAGAGGTTTAGTAATAT